ACTGCGCCTAAAAGTTCAAGTCTTGGCAACGTAACCCTTTTTAACGGGGCCACGCGCGTCTTGGCTGTTATAAGAGAGACTGAACATTGTCCATCACAATCTATGGCGCGCAGATATGCAGCGGCACAGTAAGCAGATTCGCTTGCATCAGTAAATACATGAACTTCTTTTTTAACAAATAAACTCGCATGTTTTAATGATTCAATATTGTATCTGGGTATTTTTAAATGTCTGACGGCTGGCAGTTCTAAGCACCATTGTTGCCACGCGTTCAGGAGATCATTTGGCAGATCACAATCCCAATCTATGCCACGTTCCCACATTTGTTGAAATAAACATTTTACTCTGATCACGAAAGGTGACAAGAATCCAATGGGATCAAAGATTCGCGCAGCCGCTTGCAACACACCGCGTTTTGTGTTCTTTGTTTCTTGTAAAAAATCCATGACATGTTTAATATCAAACGTGAAAACATCTTCATTTGTTTCCCAACTGAGTCCAAGAACTTTTAGTCCATTGCCATTGACTTCAACATTTTCGTTTACAGACATGTCCATTGTTTCCATCCATTTGTGTTTTAATTCTGCAGAATTCGTGCTCCATTTCCGTAGTTCCATGCCAGCAGAGTGTAAAATGTCTTTTGCGCGCACTGAGAAAGCATGAGCTTCAGCTACACTTTGTGCTCCACAAATTAAATCATCAACATATAGGGATTTATTTAAAATAGATGTGACGCTTGGATCTGTTTGTTCAAACCTTTTAAGATGGTGTTTGATTGTAGCAGCTAACAGAAATGGACTCGGGGATGCGCCGAACGGGACTCTGGTCATACGCATGACGCAAGGCTGTACAGTTACATTATTTGGACAATCATTTATCCACAGAAATCTCAACACATCTCTATCATTTTTATTTATCAAAATTTGCAAAAATGTTTTAGAGATGTCTGCCATAAAGGCGATGGGATTTTGTCCAAATTGTAACAAAACACCAAGTAGGTCAGGATTTAAATTAGGGCCTGTCAGAGCGAAAGGCACTCGGGGGCATGAGAGGAGGCATCGAATACCACCCGAAGCCTCGTAGTTACGCTCTCTTCTTTAATTACCGCACGATGTGGCATGTAATATACATTTGTCTCATTATCATCACTTTTTACTGGCTCTACTATTCCTTGTTTTACATAGTCTTGAATAACTGCATTATAATCGTCATAAAGACAAACATTGCGCCTACATTTTTTAATCAAGTGATCAAAGCGCGCCTTTGCAATTTCATAATTGGACGACAGTTCTTTCTTTTCGATTTTCCACGGCAAAGACACTTCATAACGTCCGTCTTTATATTGTATGGAATTTTCAAACATTTTTATTGCATCATCATCAATTTTGGATTCCTTTTCCATGGCAATTCCGATTGATTCTAGCTCCCAAAAAGAGCGTAAAGTGTGATTCATTTCATTTTCAAGTCCCACGCTCACGTGCAGTGTTTGCATTTCATCTCGTTCACATGATACTGTATTGGACATAACTGTGCCTTGGATGAGCCATCCGAATTTGCTTTCAAGTGCAACCATTTTCTTTGACAGTCGTTCAACTTTTCCTGAAACAATGTCCCAATAATTGTCTCCTCCAATTAACACTCCGAGTTCCTCAGTCTCCATTCCACTCACCGCTTCATCTGCTAACTGCATGCCTCTTTTATCCAGCTCTGCGCGCACCTCATCTCCAACTATTTGCATGATAGAAGTGCAAACACGGGGGGTTTCGAGCACACTGATTTCAATGCTTTGTCCGTTTCTTATGTTGCTCAGTTTTATTTTTACAACATTGCATTTCACTTGTTTGGGACCATCAGAACCAAATGTATGTAAATTCAGTGTTTCTTCCCCGATTTTGGGCAGGTTTAGGGGCACGGGCGATGTCTTTACGCACGAAGCTGCGTTGGCTTCCTCCATCGAACAGGCAGCGAGTTAGTTGTCTTTTAGCAGTCGTTTCAATCCACACTGTGGCGGTTTGGAGCAGAACAGTTCCTCGTTTTGATTCACTCGGGGATATTGAAATAATTGTGTCTGTTGGATCATTTTCATGTCGGCTTTCGTCGTTGAGGGTGCACATTGATTTAAAGTGACGACGATTACATCTTTCACAATGTATGCCTTTGGTTCGGCAATCTTTGGCAACATGTCTTGTTCCGAAACAAATAAAGCATCTTCCTTTTCCTTTTAATTTTTCACGTTTTTCTGGCACACTCATTTCATTGCATTCCTTTGACACATGATCATTTTTATCACAGAAGAAACACTGGTTGCGTTCATAAAAAGGGCGTTGAAATTGCTGTGTAGAATAAAGGGCTGATGCAGTTGACATTTGATTTGATCTTTTGCGCATTTCCCAATGACTTTGTTGGTCTCCTTCTCGCTCCTTGCGCTCTCGTGTGCCTCTTGTCATGTTTGCAGTGCGCTCTCGGCTTTCCACTTCAATCTTTAAAAATTCAATCAATTCATTAATTTTCCAGACATCGTCCTTTGCAACATCTTTACTAAAATTTAAAATCATTTCCTCAGGGATCAACTTTGTTAAAATAGGACACAGTAAACTGCCGTAAGCCTCAGAAACAACTCCCATCGATGAAAGGCTTCGGATTTGTATTTCACAGTCGTCGTACAGGGTTCTGAGTGCTTTGACATCATTTCACATTTTTCACAGGATTTAAATTGAGCAGTTTGGTCATATGGGCATTAATTATTAAATCTTTCCGTCCAAATCTGTTATGGAGTAATTCAGTGGCATTGTCATAGTTGGACTCTGATAAGGACAATCCCGCGACGACGTTGGCAGCTGCACCTGCCAGGTATGACCTTAAATAGCTGAATTTGTCAGTTTTCGTTAGATTTGGATTCTTATGCACTGCGCTCTCAAACTGTTCCCAAAAATATTTCCATTTGCTCACATCACCGTAGAATTTGTCAATCACGAGTTTGGGCAACTTCACATTTTGGTACACAGGCTCTCCGTCATACATTGATGGACTTTCTGGTGGTTCTCTGAGAGCTCTTTTAATCTTTGTTTTCTTGCGTATTATGACTTCTTTGTACTCCTGCGATCTTGACACTTCATTTTCCAATTCCTCTACTGGAATAACACTTTCGACGTCTTCATCCATTTTTGTTAAACACTTTTCTTTATCAATTATGATTTCAAGCATTTCCTCCAGTTTAGCGTGATCAAGACTTTGTTTGCACATTTCTTCATCAATTTTACTTATCACTTTGCTGAGGGAGGTTCGGATGGACGCTCTCTTTTTCTTCAGACGTTCCAGTTCCATCTTGCTTTGTTCGTCCGCGCGGTCCTCTTCTGCAAACTATGGACTTTTCTTTGTTGTCCCGGGTTTCGGCACCAAAATGTTGCAGTAATGACCCAAATTACGGACGAACACAAGGCAGGAGTGTCTTTTCTTATTTTATTATAAGTTTGACTTCTCTCAGTGAGCACAAGTCATTGTTCATTTTTTATTCACACACGTTCAAACAATCACTGATAAAAAGGAAAAAGGGCACCACCCACAACGGCCATTGGAAGGGGCCGACTGGGAGGAGCGCGTCTCCTGCTGTGAGGTGCGCTCGTTATGAGCGCCTAGATGGTAGCGTGCAGCGCGTTTGGATAGCCGCAACATGACCATAGGTGAGGGAGGGAACGAAGATCCCACGGAGCCATCTAGTTTTATTTGTGATCTGATACGTATGCTAACATTAGCATGAGCACAACTTCTTGTAAGCTCCTTCTCAACAATCACTGATGAAATGGTACAAAAGCAACGCACTGCTAACAAAATATATAGGTAAAAGAATACTGCTAGTTCCGCGTCTGAGTGTAGTCTGAGCGTAGAGAGTCCGAGCATAGATAGTCCGAGCGTAGATAGTCCGAGCGTAGATAGTCCAAGTGTAGATAGTCCAAGGCGGTCCCGCAGGTCTCTCCCATAGACAAGTTTCTCCAGATGATACGATGTAAGCTAGCTCTGTTCAGGGCTTGATTTCTTCTTTGATCATTTTTTGGCTTTAGTTCCCTCTTCTCTTCCTCACTGTTGTGTGGTTTGGGCTGTTTTGCTGTGTCTGCAGTTACAGCAAGAGGAGTTATAGCCACTTATGCTAACATGCTACTGTGTTTAGCAGCGCTGTAGAGGCTAGAGGACGCAGCCTCGCTCTGTGATTGGAGGAGAGCGGGCGTCACGCTAAGTCTCTACTCAGCACTTTTTACGGCCTGAATTCATACACAGCTGAATCAATGAGCTCAAGTTTTCAATTAAATGATGGGTTATAATACAACTTGTATGTAGTAATAAGGATTTTTATGAACTCATTAGAAAACACATCTGGTATAGCATCTTTAAGTCCAAATGAATGAAACAAAAACCATGTCCGTGTTTTACTAATCCTCGATCTCTTAAACACAAAAACAACACATTGAAGAATGAAGAAAACCAGGTCTCTATATAGAAAGTGGCCTGGAGGATATCAAAGTAGCCCTTCTGCTACTTAAGCGCTGCTTTTCATGTTGTAATTGGTTTATTGGTTTATTTATGACAAAATGGTTTGCAAGCAGGAATTGCATCAGTGATTGACCTCAAATATCCTGATTGGACTAAAAACAAATCAAATCTCTGAGTTTGGTGAGTCGATGGGAGAAGGATGGTGGACCACAGCGTTCTCTAGAGTCTATGTGTTTTCTATCATTGCATTTCTTGTATTTGTTTGATTGTCTGATCTGTGTTGGCGAATCGACAGCTTTTAAACGCCTTTCCAAGATAACTGCTGTTGTGATTTAGGGCAATACATAAAAACATAGATCTGAATTGAATTAAATTTCCATGTCCAGCAGATGTTTTGCACACACACTCACATACACACACGCGCACCCACACACACACTCGTTCAGTCTGGTCATGTGTGTTCCTTGTGTGACTCTGGACTAAAGGCCGGCTTTATCCTGGAGTTACCCCACCATTTAATCTGCTGGCACTCGCGTCCTCCCAGCCCAGGGCGGCCGCCGGGCTGTTTTTAAGCCCTTCACGCACACACCAACCTGCCAGCGTCCGGCCGCTTTAATGTGATTACCCTCACCTCCGCTGGTCCATCCCACCGACACAAGTAAACCCAGGGCTGACCCCACCACACCCCCAGCCTCCTGAGCCAATTACATTAGACGCCACCTTCTCAGATGTCAGATGAACAGGTGTAGCTTCGCCAATCTTCCCAGACGAGTCCTCATAATCGCATTACCGATAATACGATGCTTTGATTAATATTGCATATTAGGAGGATTGCACTGAGTAGATTTGCTTGGATTGTGAGATTGGAATGTTGTTTAAGTTATCATTTTAAAATATAAATGGGAACATACTGAAATGGTTGTATTGTAATTTGCCTCGTCAAAATACATCTCCTTGGAAGGCAAACAAGTAGTTAAAGAATGCCAGAGCTACGCTATTTTGTGTGTGCAAGTTTGTCCAGGTTTGACTGTAGTTAATATCAGCATTAATAGATTGCTACAGACTTATAGCAATTTTTTTGGCCATGTGACCTAGCCCCATTGGACGCTACTTTGACCCGGGTGCCATGGATAGTGACTGGTGACTAAAGGTCCTCCTCTCCTTCACTCTCCTGAAATCCACACTCATTTCTGGCTGGTAACGCAGGGCTTGTTTTTAGGATAGTATATTTCTCTGGAGGGCCTCTTGTCATCCTTTCTTTACTGTCTCAAGCAAAATAAAATACCTGGGGCATATAGTTATGGAGGACATGTCTGATGATGATGACATTAAGAGACAATGGATGATTTTATGTCAAAATAATGCTCTTTAAGACTTACTGTACACCGCTCATCTTTGGTCCAACTATAAAAAAGGATCAATGCAAAAGCTGCAGGTGGTTTTAGGAGGCTGAGATGGACCAGTGCGAGCGAGATGCACAGATTTTTAGGTATATTGTCAGGAATAAACCATACAGAGACGGATCGTGGTGCGCCAAACTCTGGAAGTTTATTTAAGTTTCTCTCAAGTTCCAGTGGTATCAATTGTTTCTTTCTCTCAGACAGAATGGAGTCAGTACACAGTTTATATAGTCATTGTCACGTCACACATCGAAAGACATACGTGTCAAATCCAGAGACAGTGCAAATCATAGTCAAAATAATCAGAGTCCTTGTTGAGTCCTGCACGTAGGCCAAATCACTATCTACTCCTAACAATATCATGACACTTTGAAGCAACTGTGGTTAAAGTTCTAACTCATCATTCTAACATATGCACAAGGCAGTACTTTTCCATTGCATGTGTTGATTTCAGAAGGCCTAGCTACTGGCACCGTGGGTAAAGCTGATTGGACGGTGTTCCTTCCTCCATGCTGTACTGTATACTATCACTTGCATTCTGTAACATCTTTGTTTGTGCTGTCTCCACCATCGACAATAAAACATGTCTTCTGTCTGAATTAAAGATACTATCCCAGACATTGCCACCTTCTTTAGCTTCATTGGACAATCGAACAGGTGTCAATGAAATAGGTTGATATCCGTTGTAGTGCAGCCTGTTATCGGTGGAGGATGTGGACGCACTAGTGTAGTTGTCTTCTCTCTTTTTAACTTGTATGTTCTGTCTTTTAGGTGTCAATGTTGGACCCTGAGTCCCTGAATAATAAAGGCCTCATTCATTCATTCATTCTTGCTCGATCGACTGGTCCACTGAGACACAAGCGTGACAAAAAACGCAAAACATTTATAGTATTATGTGTGTTGTGGTTTATATTTTTGTATCCTGACTGTTTTTCTTTTGTATGTAAAAAAATAAAAAATAAAATACTACTAGTACTTGTAACTATTGCCAGTAGGGCTAGCACATTTAAATACAGCAAACAATTAAGGTTGGTATCATTTATTCCTTCATTCATTCATATTATGCAGATTTTTTCATATTGTGTATTTTTTGCGGTTTTCTCTGAAATTTAAATACAAAAATGAATATATATCAAGAAGGATGCAGATTCAAACAGCTTAAATTGAATTCTTGACTGTGTTTTGCTTCTAAAAGTGCTGGTGGTAATCTGATACCAAGGGCGTAGGTTTGCGTGGGGACCATGGGGACATGTCCCCACCAATATTTGGTGAGGACTAAAAAGTCCCCACCAAAATGACATGATGTCCCGGGACCCGGACGGTCCGGGACACATGTCTTCCGTTTGTGCACACGTCGCGCCTCCTCCTCGCCTCCAGAGCAACAGCAGCAGCAGCAGCAGCAGCACGTGACCCGTTCCGTTCTCTGCAGTGATTGGCTGTCTTCTTCAGCGCCAAACTGAAGCACTGAGCAACTGTTTAATTTTTAAAAGTTAGCCAGCGTGAAGCAAGTGTTTTTTTTCGTTCCCTGAGCGTTGTAGCACGTGAGTAATCAGAGGAAAGTATTGTAGATCTATTACCATTCAAAGTACTTACGTTATTTCTAATCTGTCAGCGCACTGTTTAATGTTCCGAGGAGCTCACACGGCACAGAGACAGAACAGAACTGGCTCCAATAAAGAAACAGGTTGGTTGAAAGGCTGAAAAAATACTTATTGTGCTCTTACTATCCAAAATGTATAAGTGGGTGTGTTGTGTGAATCAGGATAAACTAGGGATGAAAATATTCCACGGATCCACGATTTACAACCTTTATCTGCTGATAATGTGATTTCTGTGAAATGTGTGACAGCGGGCACTTGCTGTTATTTGCTCTAAGCACATTCATGCGATGCACTCGAATGTGCACGTCCTGGTGCAGCTGCTGCCGCTTTGTAATGACAGCCGCGGCGCTCAGTGAAAGCACAGCTCTAACATGGTACCGAGCTCGGACCATATGCAGACAGAACCATGTTGCAAGCGCGGGTCTCCCTCGTATCTTCCCCGTTTCTCCCCTGTGTCTCTGACATGTCTCTCCCCTGACTCTTCCCAAAGCGCAACCAGCGCTCCCGAAATTAAAGCTCGGATACGTAAATTTTCCATTGCGTTAACGATGCATGCTGGTTGTGCGCAAAACACACCACAACAGGTCATTTAAGTTTTTATTTTGCATACTTGAGAGCCCTGTGAGTCATTACTTGCCTTTTTGGGGAGAGAGTGGAATAAAAAAAAGAAAATATAGAAAAATCCACACTGTTACTTATTGCCAAACTCTTGTTAACTCATTGTATTGAGAAATACTATGTAACTTTTGACATTGGCCAAGTTATATAAATGATTCTGCAGTTCATGTATATGAATGTCTGTTTTTGATTGTCTATACCTTCTTATATAATTTAGAAAAAATGCCACCTCCACAAATAAGATAAAAGATATCAGGAGCTTTTTTAACAGTTGGAAAGTAAGTAAGAGAAAGCACAAGTAATAGCAAATTATGAATTGTGATGATTAATCTTCTGTTAACATACATAACTGCTTCTCATTCAGTCTACAGCTGAGTTTAGTATAGAAGGCAACACACTATTGCAAATATAGTGTGTGATTACACAACAAATTCTGGGGGAGAAACTCTGGACCCCGTGTCAATGGGTGTAGACTCAGGTTGTAGTGAATGTCCCCACCAAGATTGGAACCAAACCTACACCATTGTCTGATACAAATCTATATATTTCTCTGAGGAACTTGAGACTAAGGCCCTGTCCACACAAAGTCAAGCTCAGGCCTAAACGCAAAAATACTTTATCAATCCAGTGTATCGTCCATACGAGGCCGGCGTTTTGGGGGGGTGTAAACGAACATTTTTGAAAGTAGGTCCCAGAGTGGAAAGATTTCAAAACTCCGTATATGCCGCTCCGTGGTTACTGCCTCTCCGCAATGTATCTGAGACGCTTGCGTCATCGCCCCGCCTCTTGTTAAAGCACGCATGCGCCGCACTCAGAAAATAATGACAACAACAATGTAGCTTGTTGGTTTTGTAATCCAGTGTGACCCGAAGCAACAGTTCAACCTCATCGTCCGTCCATACTAATGTAGTACCAGCTGGCCCACTCGCCATGTTGTCTGTTTACAAAATTCTGCGCATGCCCAGTTCCCGTCACGGAAGTTTGGGCTTGATCCCGTCATTGCGTCACAGCGCCACCAACAGGTCTGGCATAGTTTCACAGCGTTTTCAGGCGTATTGACTACATTCATATGGACGCACACATTTACTGAGCTAACTCCGTGTTTACAGAAAAAGTTTCTGAAATTATAAGCGTTTTGTCTTCGTGTGGATATAGCCTAATACTGAGCACTGTGAACTTTGGATATTTTCTTAACATACGACATTTCCACAGAAAAGCAGCTCCTCCTTGAAATTCTAACAACACACAAAACATGTCACCACTTGCTTTAATATTTCTGCAACATCCCGCTCTGTGACATGAATATTTCTAAACCAAACTTGTGTAACTTCCAAACTGTAAAAAGATGCAAATGTATAATCTGGAAGTCTGACCAGCTCCGTGGAGAAACACCGCCTCCGTGTAATCGCAGCTGACGCTCCGCCATCTGTGAGGTCGGGGAAAGGATCAGTGCGTAATCATTTCCGTGAAGCTGATTTGTTTATTAAATGCGGTGGTTTGTCTTTGGTAGAAGTTTGAACGATACATGAGTGGTGATAATGAGTAGTCTGTCCTACAGGGTTAGGGTTAGTCCATTTACACACGCCCGAGGGGACGAGAGGCGAGAGGGGACGAGAGGCGAGAGGGGACGAGAGGCGAGAGGGGGCGAGAGGGGAGAGGGGACGAGAGGCGAGAGGGGACGAGAGGCGAGAGGGGACGAGAGGCGAGAGGGGACGAGAGGCGAGAGGGGACGAGGGGCGAGAGGGGACGAGAGGCGAGAGAGGGGACGAGAGGCGAGAGGGGACGAGAGGCGAGAGGGGACGAGAGGCGAGAGGGGACGAGAGGCGAGAGGGGACGAGAGGCGAGAGGGGACGAGAGGCGAGAGGAGGCGAGAGGGGACGAGGGGCGAGAGGGGAC